CAATCTAACAGCTTCTGCAGAATTCTGTGCTATCAAACCATCTGCAGTGATCTCATCAAAACTGAAATTTTCTTCTGTAGTTTTCTCTCCGTCAGTTTCGATGAATATTGCTCTTGATGTCTCTATGAATCTCATGGTGTGATGAGGGCAGTAGAACCTGTAACCTTTGGTTCTCTCAGGGTAGCCTATAAAATAACAGCTTATGGTTTTGGGATCTAGTTTCTTTTCTGCAGGATTATAAGGCTTGGATTCTGCTCTACAACCCCAAGTTCTTAGATGTTTTAGGCTAGGTTTTCTTCCATTCCAAATCTCATAAGGGATCTGATTTATGCTCTTGGTTGGAACTCTATTTAAAATGTAATTTGAAGTTTTCAATGCTTCTCCCCAGAGGAATATTGGTAGGTTTGTACAGCTCAACATGCTTCTTATCATGTCTTTCAATGTTCTATTCCTTCTTTATGAGATTCCATTTTGTTGAGGGGTACCTGGATTTGTGTATTGAGCTATAATTCCTTCTTGCTGCAAGAATTTTGCAAAGGCTCCAGGATTTCTTCTAGTCTCATCAAACCTTCCATAGTATTCTCCACGCCTATCCGATCGAACTACTTTAATTTTGAGGTTCAGTTGATTTTCTACTTCAGCCTTGTAAATTTTGAACATGTCTAAGGCACTTGATTTTTCTTTTATGAGATAGACATGTCCAAACCTTGAAAAATCGTCTGTAAAGGTTATGAAGTAGATAAATCCTTCATGAGTTGGGTTGGGGAAGGGACCACAGATGTCGGTATGAATGAGTTCTAAGATACCTTTGCTTCCTATTGCTCCCTTTTTCCTTAAATTCGTCAATTTCCCTTTGACACACTCTATGCATATTTCATTTTGATTATCATGATTCATTGGTGGCAAGATTGATTCTTTGCATAGTTGATTAATCCTTTCTTTTGAGATGTGACCAAGTCTTTTATGCCATAATTCATAGGAGATGTCATTGCACATTTTGGTTTGCACAGTGTTAACTTCCATTTCAGTTCTTTTGCAATTTAATTGAAACATTCCATCAATGAGCCTTGCTTTGCCAAATAACTCTTTATTCTTGAAAATAGAACAACCAGTGCCATCAAAATTCAAATTGAATTTTGATTTTACAAGCCTAGTAACTGAAATTAAACTCTTCTTCATAGAAGGAATATAAACTACTTCATCTAACTCCAAAACAAAACCAAAATCTAATTCAATTCTAACAGTTCCTATGAATTCTACTTGAACTTTTTCTCCATTGCCAACGAACACCTTTACTTCATCCTTGCTTGGCAACCTCTTCCTTATGAATCCCTGCAAAGAGTTAGCTACATGAATAGAAGCACCACTGTCTAGCCACCATGAATCATGTGAGTAATCAACCAAATTAGATTCGAAACAAACTAGAATTTGTTCATTTTTACCTTTGTTTTTCTGTTTATCCAGCCACTTTTTGTACTTTCTGCATTCTTTCTTCATGTGTCCTGCTTTCTTGCAGAAAAAACATTTCATTCCAGTCGATGGTTTCAGATATTTTTCAGTGCTGCTGCCCTTTTCTTTTCCAGCTATTGCATTGTGCCTATTTTCCTTTCTCTCCTTGGTCTGAACCATGTTCACCATTTTTGCTCCTCTTTCCCTTATGATATTGTGTTCTTGTTGAACACATATAGTGATCAGATCATTCAATGTCCAGCATTCCCTCTGAGCAATGTAGGTTTCTCTAAGAGACTTGAAATCCTTTGGCAATGAGTTCAAAGCGAAGTGTACCATCATGTCCTCATCAACTGTCATTTTCAGTTCCTGCAATTTGGTTCCTACATCGATCATGTTCAGAATATGTGCCCTCACACAGCCTTGTTCATCATACTTCATGTCGATCAACTTGTTTAGCAAAGTGCTTTTGAGTGCTTTCTCAGATTCCTTAAACCTCTGTGCAATTG